TTATTGTAAGGATATTTTATTTATCGCAATTATTCTTTCATATCGCGTTCTTTTCTCATTTTGTATTCAAGAAAAATTACTATTAGTTTCTTTCGATGGATTTAGACATGATTATATCGATATTGCTCATCGTGCAGGCACCAATATATCTGCATTCACAAGAATTTGGATGAGTGGTGTTCGGGTAAATCACGCAAAATCAGTCTTTACTACCAGAACATTACCAAGTCATCATTCTATTGCGACCGGCCTGTATCAAGAAAGCCATGGCATTGTAAATAACGAATTTATTGATCCAGAGTTGAAGATCAGTTGTTCCCTATATAACCATTCAAGCTTACTTGATTCACTATGCTTTGACACTGGAGTGGAACCAATTTGGTTGACTAATCAGCGTCATAGACACAAAAGTGCTGTGTTTTTCTGGCCTGGTAGTGAGGCCCGTATTCGCGGGGAACTGCCATTTATTTCTGCCGGTCGTTATGTTTCAGGATACCCCTTAAAGGATAGAATAGATAAGATAATTGAATGGCTTACAAATTCAGAAATTAACTTTGCGATGCTTTATTTTCACGAACCTGACAAAACTGGTCACACTAAGGGTCCAAATAGTCATGAGATTTTGGACAGACTTTCGGAATTAAATGAAGCCCTTGATTACCTTCTTAATCGCCTTGAAGAAAATTCATTAGGCCGAATCAATTTTATCCTTACAAGTGATCATGGAATGAGTGAAATGAACACAAGTAAAATAATTATAATGGACAAAATTATTAGTCCCGAACTCTACTATGTTTATGGTAGAACAGAGTCTATATGGGGTATCTGGCCTACTAATGGTAATTCTTGGTTTTTTAATGCTCTAGATACAAAATCAAGTGTTGATACAATCTATACTATACTCATTGAAGCCAAGCCTAAAAATCTACATGTATATAGAAAACAAGACTTGCCTCCTAGACTGCACTATACCATGAGTAGACGTATCTCTCCTATTGTAATTTATTGCGATCCTGGATCATCTATAGTACGCAGCGAAGCTGATGCTAAGCTGATTAGTAGGTTTATATAATTCATTTACGCCAAGGATGACTGTTCTAAATGCCAAAAGGAACTTTTTTTTATTAAAAAGCAATTATTTAGTTCCTTAATATGCATTATACATTAAAAATTTACTTTAAACGTCAGGCGATTATTAGTGTCCCTTTGGAATCTGTGTTTTTTATCAGCCGATATATGCTTATAGATTTATAGTGAATATTTTTTATTTATTAACAAGATTCTCAGATATAGCTGTTCCTTATTTCTTTGTCGCCTATTCATATTAATTTTATATCTTTTTTTCTATAAAAAGATGGCGGGACACATGGCTACGACAATTCTCAGCAGGATATGTTTTCATTTATGATTGCAACTGGTCCCGGAATTGTTCAAAGTTCTCTTATCCCAACTCCTGATAAACTCCCTGAGAATTGGACTATTTCTT